GGGGCGGGGCCACCGCTCGCCCCGCCCCGCTCCGCAGAGCGGGCACCGCCCCCGACTCGCAGCCTGCGCGCCCGCACCTAGCCGTGGGGCCCCTAGTCTGGGGATTTGGGTCGGGGGATTGCCAGGCCTCCCGCAACCTGAGCGGAGCTCTGTGGAGAGAGCGTGGGAGCCAGTCTTGCTCCCCGAGAATAGGGAAAAGGGAGCCGAGACCCCTACCCCTTTTTGGTTGGGGATAAAAGAGCCATGTCCCTCCCGAGATGGAGGCGAAGGAAACTGTCCCCACTCCCTTTGGAAGAAAGAGAAGTGTCAGCATCCCCACCCTGAGGTGAGAAAGGACCCATTCCCCCTGGCGCGCGCGCACGTAAACACACGCACACACTCCCTGTAGTGGGAAAGAATAGAACCACCTCCTTTCCCAAAGCTGGGAGAAAGGTGCCATCTCCTCAACCTCCAGGTGATGGAGGAAGGAATAATCTGCGCCCCACCGCCCCGCTCCCAACACACACACACTCCTATGATGAGACAAAAAAGAACTACTCCCTCCTCAATATTAGGTGAGAAAGACATCCTCTCTCCCCACACTCCCACCCATTCATCCATTCTGTGACAGAGACTTGACAGATCCCTCCAACGGGTCTGCGGGCGCATTTTTGGTGCCTGCACTTTAGGGATGGCTCACTTAAGAGCACCTTCTTCTCTTCCCCTCCTCATGGATCAGAGAGAAGAAACCGTGTGTAAGGCTGGAGACCCCCTCTCCCCAAGTGGGATATCTAAGGGTCCCCCACCCCTTCTGTGTTTGCCTCCCTGATAGGCAGTGGTGCGTCCTATGTTGTACCAAGAAGTTCATCTCTTCAAAATCCATTTGTTTTTCCAGTTCATTAATTGGCTAGATCTGCTTCCACCTCCATGAAGACCTCAGATTATCACCTTTCCGTGTGCACTCCCTAAATCTGGTATGACCTCTGGACCTTTGTTTTCACCTCTCATGAGCTATACTTAATCCATGTGTTGTATGGGAACAGGACACAGCAGATATAGTACTTTACATTCAGACCTCTCTGGGTGATGTGTGACCTCAGGCAAATTAGCTTCTGAGCCTCTTTTCCTTATCTGATAAAAGGAAATAATGCTTTAAAATTTTTTTTTATTTTAGTATAATTGACACAATGTTACATTAGTTTCAGGTGTACAACACAGTGATTCAATGAGTTTATACATTATGCCATGGGGAGATAACACTTTTCAAAGTTGTTACGCAGAATAAATGAGATTGTGTATATAAAGCACCTGGCACACAGTAGGTATTCTAGTAGTAGTGGCTGGATTCTTATTCTTATGTGAGCTAGTTCTCAGTAAGTATCCATTGGACTGAATAGAATCAATGAGCAGCTTGACACTAATATTGGTAGGCAGTTCTTGCTTCCTGCATCCCAGCTGGCTCTCGACTTGGGACCTATTAGATACACAATCCGGCTCTGAGCCAGAGACCCAGTGATGTTCAAGAGGTCTCCAGCCAACTATGATAATACAGTGGTCTTCCCATCCACCATGTGCCAGGCAGTGGTAAGTGCTGGACAGACCGATATGAATGGGAAGTAGCCCCTGTCTGTGGGAAGTTCACAATTTATGAGGGCTAGAGGAGAGAATGGGGAAGATAGACACAGGAACAATTAACCACAATGAGATGTGAGAAATGCTATAATACCATTGCGCAAAGTGGTTTAGGGGCACCAAGGAGTTAGGGAATCATTCTGCCTGTGAGGTTTAGGAATGGCTTCTCAGAGGAGGTGACATTTGAAGTGGGTCTTGAAGTAGCTGTAAGACTACCAGCAGTGAAGTGGGGAAAGCACTCAGGCAGAGAAGGCCTGGAGGAATGCTAGTTGATGACTCCTCTAGGAAGCTTTCCCTCAATCCTCCAAGGTAGACTGTTTCATTACCTGTGTCTGGTTTTGTCATAGCCCCTTAAAAAATTATAATAAAATATTCTGGTGACTTGAATGTATGCTTTTCAAGGAGAGGATTATGTTTGAGCCATCTTGGACCCTAACATGAAGCACAGTCCTTGGCTTGCAGTAAGGACTCAGCTGTTTGAGAGTTGAACTGTACTCTTACCCAACTCATTTCTTGTGTCTATTAGAGAATAAAACATATATCACTAATAACTAAATAAACTTAATTTAATGTACTGCCCTTCCTGTATTTTTTAGAGTATCAGATGACTCTTTTCCAAAGGCATGAATCTCTAATGATGGGATTTCATATACTGTTATCACTTCAATTTTTCAGATGTTTGGGTTATCTTTTTTTTTATATTTCACTAAGTAACACCCCTTAACCATTAAGCTTGTAGTGTATGTATAATTTTAAAAACCAACCACTTAAAAAACATGTTGTAAGTACCTAATACATGCAGGGTATTATGCTAAGCACTCATGGATAAAGAAGATTCGAGAATAAATAAAACCCAAGTTATGCCCTTAAGAAGACAGCTCATAAACATGTGAACACATAACCAGCAATAGCACAGCAGTCTGTGAATGACCAGAAAGTGGAGCAGGCAGTGAGTGTTAAAAGAGCCAGACGAAGAAAGAATCTCTGAGGTATGAGAGAATTTCACAGGGGAGGTAGGGCTCAGTCCGTATGAAATGGGTGGAATTCAGATACCCAGGACGTGGTGGAGAAAGCAATCAAGACAGAGAGGATAGGAAAAGCAAAGACAGGGAAGCTGAAGGATAAGTGATGAGAATGTATTGCTCTATTCCTTGAAGGCAAAGACCTCACCTGTGTTATCACTATATTTTTTGAACTTCAGAATACTCCTGGCCTCAAGTATGCCCTTAAATATTTGTAAGGAGGCTCTGCAGGCTGGACTTGTGTACATGTTTATGTTGTTAGTGTCTACCCAGGTTTCTTTTTAGATGGCAAGCACCTCAAGGTGAGGGATTCTTCTTCTGCTTCTCTCAAAATGTTCTACAAAGCCTGATATAATATCTAACACACAATTAGTGTCCCAGTCTTGGGTGCTAGACTAGAATATTCCCAAAGAACTCCTTAGGTTTAGATTCCTTCATTGATACAATGGAAGCCTACAAGACCATTGAAAAATATTTATCAAATAGTCCATGAATTTATTGTTATTTTCTGGTAGGTTTTAATAAGAATATTATTCTTATGGAAAAACAGACTATTTTCTTATAATTGGGAATGTGTCATCATTAATCAGTTGTATATGAGCAGAAGATTTTGATTAGTTGGCACAACTGTAAATCACATCTGCTTAAACTAGTATTTTCCATATTCCTCTGAGTCCTTGCTGAGAAGTGTCGGTGCAGCATGCAAAGACACTTGCTTGTAAGTGGGCTTGTGTTTTTAAGGAGCCATATGAAAATCTTTCCTTTTTTTTTTTTTTTAAAGATTTTATTTATTTATTTGACAGAGAGAGACACAGCAAGAGAGGGAACACAAGCAGGGGGAGTGGGAGAGGGAGAAGCAGGCTTCCCGCTGAGCAGGAAGCCTGATGCGGGGCTCGATCCCAGGACCCTGAGATCAGGGCCCCAGCTGAAGGCAGACGCTTAACAACTGAGCCACCCAGGTGCCCCATGAAAATCTTTCCTTTATCCTTACCTGTGAATCCAGGTTCCAGATGCAGGAAGAATATAGCACTTTTCAGTCTATCTTATGTCCTGCCTTTTCTCTGGAATTGAAAGGGAAGCAGGGCTTGGAAATTCTACAAAATATACAATTCTGGCACAGTTCAGGCTTTTTCTCTCTATCTCCCTCTGAGACCAACTGGCCATTCCCATCTCTAGGTAGAAGGCATTTCTCCCAGAGCAATTGGTGGAAGGGTCTCCCCCAACCTTTCTGAATCACTCAGGGTCCAACTAAGCCAAATGTCAGAATTTCAGAGGTCTTTCCCAGTTTTAGAAGCCCGGGGCTCTATAAGGCCTGTCCTTGCGTAATCTTTATCTTCCCACTGAATTGTAAACACAGGCACACATCTGGCAACTGCAGATGAAAGAATCCTGCTAAAATCAGGAACCAATTTAAATGCTTTATCACCTCTCTGATTTCTCTCTTCCCCTGAACAACAATGCGGCAGAGAATGCTCACAGGGAGAAAGGCAGGCAGAGCTCAAAAACAGAGCTTAAAGAAAGGCCGGCACACCAAGCCACCTGACCAAACACTTATTGTCCAGGTGTGCTCTCAAACAAGGAAGTTTGCTAGAACATGCCACCTTTGGCCCTTGCTTGCTTCTCGTGATCAGGGGACCCCATTCAGGCCCACCTGCCCTAAAGAGATGGAGAAAGAATTTGGAATTCAGAAACTCTAAGTTCCATCACTACTTGGCTTTGTGATTTTCAACAAGTTGCTCAGCTCTCTGGGCCTCTCATGTAAACAGGGAGGGACAGGTGTGCCTTGGGCCTCTCATGAGATAATATGGGAACACTTTGAAAGTGAAAAGGTTAACCAGAAAAGGCATCAATATTGCTTTCCACGCTCAAGTTACCTGTCATATGGAGAACGCAATTGAATTGAGTTTGTCACCTTCATTCAGGTAGCCCTTCTTGATAATCAACCCTGAGGATACCTTCCTCCTCCACCTCTGGATAGAGGACAGCTCTGTCCCTGACATTGAATTCTCCAAAGTTAGCCATGTCAGCTGGGCCAGTTTGCTATGATTAGGAATCACACAAATATAAGTTTAATTACTAAATCTACGTCATGGTAACTGTGTAACTTTGAACAGATCACTTACAGCCTCAGTTTTCTCATCTGTAGAAGAATGGCATGATGATCACAATGACCTTGAAGGGCTATTATGAAGACTAAATAAGATCAAGTCTATGAGTGTATTTTATAAGCAGTAAATCACTGTGCAAATGTTAGCTATTAATATTCTGACGCCAGGGGCATCACAGAACTCGCCAGCACCACAACTAAAATATAAAAAAGGACTCTCCCCACACATACTTATCCTAAAGTTACACACCCAAGAGAATTCATGGAAAGCATGAGATGGATTCTCTGCAGTTACTCCCAGGCTTAGTCATACCTGCTAAAATATATGCAACAATCACTTCAACTAATGGCTTCTACCTTGCTGGGTGACCTTGAACAATGCACTTCTCTCTTCAGGCTTTCATTTCCTGGCCTGGAAAATGAGCTGGGTGATCCCCAAGGTCTAGTGTTGTGAGATTCTGTGAGTAGAGCCCCCAGGGGGAAATAAGCACCCGATGTCACCAGGCTGAGCCAGGGAATACAGGGGCTGGGTCTGGGGAGCAAACACTGAGCATGGCTTTAGGGAGAGAGAGAGAGAGAAGCAGAGGCACCCAGGAGAAACAGGTGCATGAATTCTAATTCCAAGTCTTCCCGTGACTTAAAGGAGTCAATGATGGTCCCCTTGCCAAGTTTCCATTTCTCTGGCAATATTGGGGACACAATAATGACTACAACTGATTAGATGCTGACCACATGCAAGAAATTGCCCATGTGTTATCTCATTTAATCTCCCTCAAGGGAGGTGTTAAATATCCCCTTTTTACCATTGAAGCAATTGGACTTCAAAGACGTTATACTAACACAACATCTTATAACTAAAAAATTGCAGAGCTGGAAGGCAGGTTTGGTTGCTTACAAAGCCCATGAGACTCCCCATTAGAGTATACTGGCAGGCCCCTTAGAAAGGTGCCATTCATCAGCAGTTGCCTAATAAATACATTTCATTGGAAGCCACAGAAGAAATAAGGTGCCTTCCTGGGCTCTCCTCAGCTTCCCTGTCATCTCCCTTTGCCCCAAATCCTGCAGACACAGGAGGTTTGGCATCCTGTATAAACATTCCTGCCCCCAGGAACAAGCTAGCTTCAAGCAAAAAGAATCAAGCTTATGAGACACTCCTCCCCCCATACACCCTACTCCTACTCCCACCCAGTTTGGACCACAGTTCCCCACAGAGCTGCTTTGGCCTCTTGTGGGATGCGGGTATGTTGACTGTTGCCATGGTGATAGAGGAACCTTACTGTCACGCACACAGGAGCAGCACAGAGTGGGTCTCCCCTCCCTGGGAAACTCAGAGGATTCATCAGAGGTTGTTTTCTAGTTGCTTCCTCATGCCACTTCATGGATAAGTGAAAGAGCATCCTTTCCACTTAGCATTCAACCCACCCTAGGGACAGTGCTGAGCTTTCTGTACCGAGTGGGTGTAGAAGGTAACTCCCTCCCTCTACTTCTGTTACAGTTCCTCTTCAAGGAGGCTCCTTCCAGGTGGTAGGAAGAGATATTTACAAGATGCCAGTGAATGAGCTGTTGTGTTTATAATCTCTGCTTCGCTTAGATTGTGAACCAATTTGATTTTTAGTGTCAGACCCGTATGGGTTTATCCTCTGCCTCAGCTGCTTATTAGCAAAGCAATCTCCTGAAATTTCTTTAGTGAGACTCAGTTTATTTATCTGTAAAGTGGGGTTAATCGTTCTTTGCAGAATTTTTTAAGAAAATTAAGTGAGATCATTTATAAACAGTGCTCAATACAATGTCTGCCACATATTCATGACAGCAATTATTTTAAAGAAAGAAATATAATGAAACAGATGTTCTGATTTGGAGACAAATATTTGAATCCCTGGTTCACCACTTAATAGCTTAATAGCTATGTAATATTCTGAAGTCAATTTCATTTTGAGTCTCAGTATCCTCAGGTGTAAAAGGAAGAGGTCATAGAGAATCATAGGCTCAAAACCTATGATTTCTAAGTGAATATTTATTTTGAAGATGTGGTTATAATCTCTGAGGATTTGTGTGAAAAAGACATCCACCTCTTTATTGGTGAAAGGCCATAAGGAATCAATGGCATAACTTCTTAATGTATCCATACACTGAGAAGAATCTTTTCCCCACCCCCATCCTCGACACCACATTGTATGAGTTCCTGCACAGCTGTCCCCAGGGAAAGGTTCCTTAGTGCCAGGACCAGCTCTGAGCAGATGGCCCCATTTCTTCTCTCGAAAACAGCCAGCTCCGGGGATCGGAGCAAAACAGAGTCATAGTCCAAGGTCGAACACTTGACTGTTGTTTTAATGAGTGTGATTCAGCCTGAAAGCCCATCAGCACTTTCTCTCCATCCCCTCCCTTGAGTCCCAGAGTCTGCAGGACTCTGCCAGAGCTGGAGGCCTTCTGGAGAACTGAACTGGCTGGCTTGCCTGTCGCCTTTTCCTGATCAGGAGTGGGTCCATTTTCCTATTCCTTGGTTTTTATCCTCTCCCTACACTGCCAGTGTCAATAGAATGTCTTTTCTCATCTCCAAAATAGCTCTGGTCCATTTGAAGCAAGCTAGCAGTAGGCTTTCTGCCAGCATTCTCATTTCTTGGAGGATGGAAGGCATTCCCCCATCCAATTATCTAAAAGTCCCTTTGCCTGATGATTCAGCCAACCCCTCCATCATGAGCCAGTCTTGGGTATCCTAAAGTCACCTTGAACAAATCAATTGTAATGATTGTTTCACACATTGCCTTGAATTCTTACAACTCTACAAGGTAAGAATCATGCTCTCACTTAAACAAATGAGGAAACAGAGGCTCTGAGAGGGGAAGTGACTTCCCCAAGGCCACACAGCCTGTCACAGAAGAGCTGAGATTCAAACTCTAATTGACAATTTTAGGAGGAAGAGTTGAACACTCACTGGCCACTTGCTTTTCCTACAAGCCACAGTGAGCACTTTGGAAAGTGCTCAGGACTAGAGAGCATGGCAGCCGACGGTTCCAGAAAATTATCCCATATGTCATCTCTAGTGTGCCTCCAAGCCTTTGCCCAAGCTGCTCCCTCTGCTTGGGATACCCTTCCCCATGCCTTGCAACACGGTGCAGTGGAACACCTGGTAACAAGCTTTGCAGTAGACAGAGCTATTTTAGAATCCTGACGGTACCATTTGCAGATCTATGATCTCAGGTAATTTATCTAACCTCCCTGATGTTTTCTTCTTCTGTAGAGTACGACTATTTACTTCATCATGTTGTCATGAGGATTCGAGCTAAAAGGACTTCGCATGGTGCCTGGTAGTTAGCAGGTGCTCATGACTATAACCAGTCTTTCCAAATGCAGCTCATGCACCACCACATCTGTGAAGCCCTCCCTGCCTATGCCCCCCATCTCCATGCCCTAACATTCATTCATTTTTTTTCTTTCTTCATTCAGCAAATACTTAAAATACATAAATAACTCAATTGTAGTACTCAGCCCATGGTATTGTAATTATTGGGTCATGTTCTGTTTCCTTCATTAAACTGAGATCTTTCTGAGGGCAGAGATCTCAACCAAGTCATCTCTGAATCCAGAATGCCTCATCCAGGGCCTGGCAGGAGGAAGGACGGGCAGAAGAAAGATGAAAGAATAAAAGGCAGAAGGAGGGGCACCTGGGTGGCTCAGCCCCAGTGTCCTGGGATCGAGCCCCGCATCAGGCTCCCTGCTCCGCGGGTAGCCTACTTCTCCCTCTCCCACTCCCCCTGCTTGTGTTCCCTCTCTTGCTGTCTCTCTCTCTGTCAAATAAATAAAAACTAAAAAAACTTTAAAAAATAAAAGGCAGAAGGAAAAGAAAAGAAGGCCAAAGACTGCTTACGAAATCTGCTCAAAAAAAAAAAAAAAAAACACCTCTCAGTATCCAGACAGGAAAAACACCTGGTTCTCCCCCAGCCTATTCTGCAAAAGCCTCCCAATTCCTCCATTGACAGGAGCCAACAACAGGATGGGAATATCAATGACTGTCTGAATAGAAAGCCTCAGATGAGCCCCGCACGGAGAGCGGAGACAGGCAAGTGGTGAGTGCTAAGGCGCAGCTGCGGGAAGGAAAATTCCGTCTGTGCAGCCGCCGGGGATAGACAGCCGCTGGGGCCTGGCAACAGCTCCGGCTGTGGACCGAGCTCCGCCCACCTCCAGCGACGGCGGCTGCATCCCGGCAACGGCTTGGCCTGGCAGGTGATGAAGGCAGCTACCTAATCAGAAGGAAGGCGTGAGGCTTGCCCAGGTGAGGGCCTGAGCCCTATAACTCTACAGAGCTGGAGCTTGGAGCCCCAAGCCTTGGGCAAAAATACCAGGGAGAAGATGAAGGTCTTCTTTCTCCCTGCTCCCCAAACCGTGCCCCTGCCCACCACCAAATCATCTGAGGGCCTTTTAAAAATCCCATTCTAGGGGCGCCAGGGTGGCTCCAGTCAATTAAGCATGGGACTCTTGGTGTATGTGTTACATTTATGAATTTAGACTTCCTATGGTTGCTTCTACGGGCATACTTCCATCTTCTGATACTTGACTATAAGCGTATAAAGGTGACTTCTATTAGAAGATAGAATCAGTGCTCAAACTAGAATAACTCAAATAATGAGCAAGGGCAGGATGGAAAAAACTTATAAGAATAGTTTGGTTGTGTGATACTTGTTTGGGATTATTTCTGCAATTGTAATCAGTGTCATATAACACATGTTCCTGTTTCATAATGTGAACTCTACTCTGGAAAACACTTTCAGTGTTAAATCAACCAACTGATCCTCCTTGGTGTGAAGAAATAGTAGGAAGATTCCTACTGAAATGTTCTATTGTAGTATGCAATAAAATATTCAAATACTCAAAAAAATAAAAAAGCATCTGACTCTTGATCTCAGCTCAAGTCTTGATC